TACAGTGTAAATCTACAGCTAGCATTGAAGCTAACGTTATAAACCTGTTTGTTCACAGTGTAAATGTACAGCTAGCATTGAAGCTAACGTTATAAACCTGTTTGTTTACAGTGTAAATGTACAGTTAGCATAGAAGCTAACGTTATAAACCTGTTTGTTTTATCTCGATCTGAGACGTTTTCACCAAACTTCTTTCAGAAATCTGTTAATTCAGAGCAACGAGCTGTTTCCCTGGAATCTTTGATTTAAATAGTATAATAACACTGATTAGGTAATTTAGTAGTTCGGCAGTTTTAACACTAAAGAACATTAATAATAATCAGTAATTAACCAATAAGTTCCTCAGAAACAACAGAAAGGATCAAACTGAGTAAATGAGATGAATCCTCTCGAGTCTAAGAGCAAAATGTTTTCTGTGTCATTCTGCTCTTTTTTATTATTTTGACTTTAACGCTGTCGCTCAGGAAATGTTGATATGTCTTCAATCCTCTGGTCTCAAGCTGAACTCTCAGTGTCAGTTGGTTTGTTTGTCAGAATCTCGGACATGTCAGCTGATACCAAGATTGCCGAGCTGCTGACGGAGCTCCATCAGCTCATCAAACAGACTCAGGTGAGGGTGGAGTTAAGTCAAGTCTTCACCTGGACGTAGACTCATCAGTTAAACTGAACCAGGTCCAAACATTCTGTTTTCAGGAGGAAAGATCCCGGAGCGAACACAATCTACTCAACATTCAGAAGACACATGAGAGGATGCAGACTGAGAACAAAAGTCAGTCACTTCCCTGTTTCCATCCTCAGACTCTCGATCCTCACACCTTAATATTCTGCTGTTTTCTTACATCATCAGCTTTTTCTAGCTGTGTCTCTGTTGACTCCAAACTTATTCCAGCATTTTGTCTTCCTCAGCTTCTCCGTACTACAGGACCAAGCTGAGGGGACTGTACACCACGGCTAAAGCAGATGCCGAGGCCGAGTGCAGGTGAGCGACCAGGCTGAGGCTCCACCCACACTGTTTGAAAACATCGCTTTATGTGTGAATGAAGTCAAATCATGTAGTTTACAGCCCAAACATGTTTTAAACTAAAACAGATTCATGTGCATGAGGTTCTTTAACTCTGATGCTTCTGTTTAATCTCTTGAGTTCTAACCCATCATTCATAATTTCATAGTTTTCTCAAGGCTGCAGAGCGTAAAAAAAAATCCATGTGTGTTCACCCCCCCACAGCATCCTGCGTCACGCTCTCGATAAAATCGCAGAAATCAAGTCGTTGTTGGAGGAGAGGAGGATTGGTATGAACACATACATCACACTCTTGCTTGATTTCTGCCATTTTATGTTTTTTAATTTCATTTCTGAATTGTCAAACAGCTGCTAAGATGGCCGGAGTTTACAGTGACAGCGACCCTCCCAGGAAGACGATGAGGCGCGGGGTCCTGATGACGCTCCTCCAGCAGTCGGCCATGACGCTCCCTCTGTGGATCGGAAAGCCGGGAGAGAGGTAACTCACTCACTCACTCACCAACTAAAACCAGAAACACTAAATTAACAGCACAAAAGTTTGCGTGACTCAGAAAGTTCTTCCTGTTCTTTCAGCCCGCCCCCTCTGTGTGGGGCGACTCCCGCCAGCAGCGACTACGTGGCCAAACAGGGCGACAAAGTGGCAGCGAGGGTGAAAGCCGTGGACGGAGACGAGCAGTGGATCCTGGCTGAGGTCGTCAGCTACAACCACTCCACCAACAAGTGAGAGCGCCGCACGCTTCCAAAGCATCTTAACGTTATATCAGAGAACAGGATGTGACATCACAGCTCTGAATGTTTTCTTCCTCCAGATACGAAGTGGACGACATTGATGAGGAAGGAAAAGAGTGAGTCACAGCTTCACATTCACGATGTCTCACTAAAGTATTTATTCATTTATTTATTTTACACATAATAAATAAGCAACAAAAAACAAAGATAAGGAAATCCATTCTGAAGAGGAAGTTACAAACTTCTCTCACTTGTTTTTGACTCTGACACAAATACGTCAGCTGCATTAATTATTGTTTCATTGTCATTTTCTCTCATTTTTCTTGTTTGATACTTTTTCTCTTCTCTTTTAATTGATCACTTTGATTATTGATCATAAACCCTTGATTGGCTGTGATTTCACTCATGCATTTAAATCCATTAGAACATTTCTCTCTGTCACGACTGTGTCGTTACTGGTCAGAAACAAACATGAACTCATGATTGTTATCGATGTTTTCACACTCGAACTCTGTTGTGTAGTTAGTGTTTCTCACGTGAAGAGGCAGCAGCTCTCAGTCTGTTCATGATGACATGAGTAAAGGTTGTGATGAGCTGCTCTGTGTTTGTGTGATCAGGAGACACACTCTGAGCAGACGGCGGATCATCCCTCTGCCTCAGTGGAAAGCAAACCCAGAGACGGACCCTGAGGCCCTGTTCAGCAAGGACCAGCTGGTGTTGGCCCTCTACCCACAGACCACCTGCTTCTACCGGGCCCTCATCCACACCCCACCACACAGGGTGAGACGCACAGCTCAGCAGCCTTTTTACACACAGACTGCAAGTAACGATGATAACACAAAATCATATGTGAAAAACTACAAAATGGTCGCATTTCAAATAATTTATGCGAGTTTAAGAATTATTTCGTTCATATTTATAAATTTAGAATCTCTAAGATTCGTTCAGAGAGAGAACGTTCAGCCACAAGCGTCTGACTCAACTAACCAGTAACAGTGTTGTACAGTATATGTAAATATATTAATGTTCCTGCCTTGATCATTTCAAACTAATAAATAACCTCCAGTCAGTCTGTAGATGATCTGAGGAGCTGTAAGAATGAATGTCTTCCTGTTTGTGATCTCTGTGTGTGTGTGTGTGTGTCGACAGCCTCAGGACGACTACTCCGTGCTGTTCGAGGACACGTCGTACGCTGACGGTTACTCCCCCCCTCTGAACGTGGCTCAGCGATACGTGGTCGCCTGCAAAGAGAACAAGAAGAAGTGACGGGTGTCTGGCTCTGAGCAGACTGACGCATGAACACACCGACGAAGCCTGTTTGATCGTTTAGTTAGACATGATTCAGTTTTTATAAGAGACGATGTTCAGAGCAGCTTCTGGAAGATTAGTCAAGAATCAAATAAAAAACATTTGGTGCTGAAGCGGGAGAGTTTGTGTCTCGAGTGAAAACATCCCAGAACAGACGTTTTTAAATGAGACTGTAGCTGTTCTCAGACCTGTGGGTAGAATCCAGAGACTCGTCTCCAGAGACTCGTCTCCAGAGACTCGTCCCCAGAGACCCGTGTCCCCAGAGACTCGTCCCCAGAGACTCGTCCCCAGAGACCCTTGTCTCCAGAGACTCGTCTCCAGAGTTCATGTTTCACAGCTGAACAACTCAGCAGCAGGTTTTCTGCTCAGACTCGTTCAGCATCAGATCCTCCTCGTTCTTCAGGTGAGAGGTGGAGCAGACAGACAGGAAGTGATCATGTGATCATGTTTACATCACCTGACACCGTCGTCAGCTCTCATCACCACAAACTGTCTTCACGTCTTAGTCTGTGTCTTCTACGTGTGTGTCAGCACTTTGTCTCCAGAGACATTTGTTTGTGTTTCTTCATGTTTGCATCACTCCCAGTGAATCAGTGGAGGACTCTGCTGTGTCCTCACATCAGATTCTGGATTTCTACGTGTGTAGAGACTGTGGAGCCTCTCACTCGGACATTTGTGTTCACACACGATCGCCTCTGGAAAAAATATGATGGAACTTTGGAGCTTATTTGGCACCAGACTCACAGAAGAAGTGAAATTAACCGTGGGGACCTGAACGCCTCTTTAGCTGTGAGGAAGTGAATTAGATTCAAATGAATTCTGGACGATGGTGAAACAAAAAAAAATATAATTGTAAAACATTGTTTTCTTATGGCCATGATGTTTATGAAATCTTTTGTTTGATAAACATGAGAATATTCTGCATTTTCTTTATGTTTGGACTGAAACACCTCGGCTCATTTCGTTTCCAAAAAGTAAAGTCAGACATTTTCACGCTGATCTTTGTTTTTGTTGCTTCTCTTCTGTCAGAGATCATCTGTTCCTCAAGTGTTTATTTTCACTGACTCATGTTTTAACAGAAATCATTTCTTGCTTTGTGTTGTTGTTCACTACACACACACACACACACACACACTGGAATAAAACTTTCTGTGAATATTAATCCAGAAGATTAATTAAACAAAGTCAAGTGAGAAGCAACATCATATTAACAGGAAGTGAGGAAATAATGAAAATGAGAAAACACAACAGGCAGGAAACAAAGTGAATATAAGAAAAATCTGAACAGAAGATAAAAATATAAAATACCAATAAAAAGAAAAGACAAAATATGAAAATACCAAAAAAGAACATTTAGATAAGATGAGAAAATAAAATAAAAATAGTAAAAAAAAGAACTGGATACTAAATGGAAAATTCAGAGAAAGTTTATCTGTAGAATAGTCAAAACTATATGAACAGAAATGTTAAAGTCTGATGTTCAGGGAGGTGCAGGAATAAGATCTCACTGTGGGTGATGACGTTACCGACACTGACGCGGACCCTGAACACAACACTACTCATGATGTCCCACAGTCCCTGAAGGCGTCAAACAAAACGCGGGTAGAGGAGTCAACATGGCGGATCCGGTGAGTTTCCAACTTTTCCGTTGTTTTTACCGTTAACCGAGACTTAACGGAGGAGTGACGTCATCAACGAGGATCGTAATGATGTTTCAATTAACGCGGGCGAACAGAGAAACGTGAGAAGTCACGTGAGGCCGCGGAGACAGTTTAAAAGTGCAGGTTAGCTTAGCGTTAGCATGAGAACAGTTGGTTTTCAAAATAAAGGCTTCTTCTGCGTCGTTAGGGTTCAACTGTCTTCA